CCGCTAGCATGCTTTGCATGAAACCCAGTGTTCATGGGAGGACAAACCATATGTTTAAGTGGGTTGCTAATACTTTCACTAATATTTTATTGGTTCATCAGTTAAATTGTTCTCTGCATTTGATGGGGCTGTGATAATTCCACTTCATTACACTCGAATGCTACTAGGGCTCTTGTAGCTGCCCTGGCACGTGGCCTGCTAGCTGGGCCTCCCTGCATTCTTGTCGGTAACAACGGGACCATTCAGTCCGTCCCTGGCTTCTCATTTTGTGGCGCATCTCTCTGGCTTATTGGTTCATCAGTTAAATTGTTCTCTGCATTTGATGGGGCTGTGATAATTCCACTTCATTACACTCGAATGCTACTAGGGCTCTTGTAGCTGCCCTGGCACGTGGCCTGCTAGCTGGGCCTCCCTGCATTCTTGTCGGTAACAACGGGACCATTCAGTCCGTCCCTGGCTTCTCATTTTGTGGCGCATCTCTCTGGCGTAGGGCATCTTTCCTTCCTCTTCCCCTCCGTTACTGTCTGCTGAACTTCTTTTCATAAACCTGGGGCATTTACAGCCGAAATGGTAGTACTGCCAGCCTAAGTAACGGTGCCGCTCCTCCGTCATCTGCAGCAGCGGCAAGAGATCCTGGGTCCCGGTGGAAGCTGTGCTGCTCCTTCCGCCTCTCCATCAAAGCACTTACATAGTGTAGAGCCTGATTAGTTCTCTTCTTCAGCCAATGGTCTTTACGCTGCTTTCTCCCTGCTTTCCCTTGAGCAGTCCTAAATGGAAGAGACAAAGACCCCTGCTTATTCAGTTTTGTTGTCTCTAAGGACTACGACCTGTTGCATTTGCAGAATGCCAAGAACTGCTATTCCCATGACTTTCCCCCATCTCTCTGTCTTGGAGGAAGCATGCTTTCTTTTCTTGGATACATGCTTTCTACGTAGTGTGACCAATTTAATGATTTCCACCTGCCTCTTGCCTTGCCCTCTTGTCCTCCCAGGCCTGAAGCAAGGTAAACACCAGTGGGAAGGCTAAGCGGGGCAGCGCAGATTTTAGTTCCAGCCTTGCTTTTGGTTCCTGGGTTGGTCTCTCTGGGCAAAGATATTCCTCTGTGTGGAGACAGCTGTTTGCCAGCCTGAAAATATGGAACATAAGATCTCTGGCGAGGTGCAAAATATCAGGTGCAGTGTCCTGAGCCTTACACAGAGCTGAATGGAACTTCTGGGGTTTTTAACCAATGAAATAAAACAGAGCCCCTTGGTGACAGCAGTTACAAGTCCAGAGCAATGTGCTGGTGATCTGTTACAATGTGTGTATAGTGTCCAAAACTGCGGGCTTCAGAATCGTGTATTCTGCAATCTTCAGCTGCCTCCCAGATGCCGTGATGTGCCTGGCGTGTGCCATCAGCATCCTGGTGAAGAGCCACTAGGATGCTGGGCAAGAGTCAGAGGGGTGAAGGGTGAGTCATGTCTGCAATTCACTCTCGGCCTCAAGAGTCTTTGCCTGGGAACCCCTCCTGCGAGGAGTGAAATGCCTGTTTCGTTAGCAAGCCTCTGTGGCGCATCCCATCGTGGGCCTGAGATGGTGATAAGTCTTCCCTGGAGGAGAGAGACCTTGCTGTTGCCCACAGGGCTCTTTGAGAACCAGAGCAGAAAAGGTGAGTAATTTTTCAGTAGATTTTATCAAGGTTACTCAGTGTTCGCTCCGTGCCTGGGCAGTAGTCTCTGGTAGCCTTGGCAGTAGGTACTTTGAAGGCTGGAGTCCAAAGCTTGGGACCCATGGATTCACATTGATCTCGTCAGTATGGAGCTGTGCTGCTCACGGTGCCAGCTGGGATGCTTAACTTTCAGCATCCCTGTTTGAAAATCATCAGGAGTAGTTCTGTGCCCCCAGTGACGTGTTTGTCAGATGCTGCTATGGTTTGTCGCTTGGCTTGCACGCGTTACCCCTTCGGCCTTGGCACGTTTCTGCTGAACATCTAATCCAACACGCTTTGGCGTGCGGATCATGGCACTGCAAGAGCAGATGCTGGCTGCTTCCTGAGAGCTTTCCATTCCCCCCGAAGAAAACGAGCTGACATTGCGGCAGGAACTCAGAAGCCAGAGGTCTGTGCAATGAATGCTCTTAACCCCCTAACCCTGAGACCAATCCTCCCACACAGCAGACTTCTGAAAGCGCTAAGCTCCCTCAGTGCTACGTTTCATAATTTGTGAGTGTGAACAGTATTAGCAGGCCGTAGGTTTTGAACCGTTCTGACCTTTGTACGCTCAGACCCTCCTCCTACCAAAGGGCTTGCATGGGTTGGCAAGAAGTCTTTGATACGGGGTATTTAAGAGAGGAGAAGCCAGTGCAGGAAGCAGGGGGTGATTAGGGCCGGAGCTGCAGCATTAGGCTGAAAAGATCTTTTGACCCATCCAGACTATCACTTGCATTGTGGTAAAGTTTATAAAGATGTTTGCAAAATGTGCTACAATTTAAGCTCATGAGCGTATATAACATTCAGTCCCAGTTTCCCATCCTTTCATTTTTTGTAAGTAGCAAGCCATTCCTCCCGTGTATCAGGTACGGAGTACGATCCCCATGTGTGGACGGGGAAACTGAGGCGATCGGTGCTGCGTCTCATTGAGGTTACACGAGGAGGCTGTGTCACGCTGGGCACGAGGAGCCTTGAGAGCCTGCATTGCAGCGCTGTGCTTGAACATCTCTGGGTGCACGTCTGGTTTTGAAAAAATACCCATCTGCTGAAAAGCACTAAAAAAATCTTACGCGTGCGCTGGCTGGCAAAATCACAAATCCTCTCTCAAGTTGGTGGGTCTGTTTCAGTAGCACTTTATTTTTTTCAAACCAACTAACTCCAGTTAAAACATGAGATATGCTTCCTAAAAGTTACATCAGCTTAAGTTTTGGAATTAACTCTATACTTTCTGTATAGCTTGGATAAAATAATTATGGACAGATTTTATATTTATTAAATTATTGACCTAAAATAAAAATCTCAAAACCCCAAATAATTTGTGTTGGCACTGTTACCCAGCGCTCACTGCAGAGTGCCGATCTGTTTATGCTGTATGAGTGGCATAAGTTTTCCCTCTAAAAAAAGTTACAGAGGAAGAAGGCCCCAGAAAAAAAATGCAAACTCCCATCATTCTATGGGAATAATTATCCCAGTGAACATGGTGGGGGGGCATTTCTGGTTGGGTTCTTTGGCACTCTGGTTTTAGACCGATGTAGCTGTATTGGCAGAGAGGCAGTGCCTCGGGCGTGTGTGCCAGTCCTGGCTCCCCGACGTGTGGGGTGTCAGATGGAGTGCTGTCATCCGGAGTTGCACCATCCAGCTTTTTGTGCTGGAGTGCGAAAACTCACTGGCAGCAGTGTTTTGTAAACACTGGTTTCTGAGCAGCACCAGTTCCCCTGTCCAGATATCCTTCCTTTGCAGTGCTGCGAGAAATGGGAACATAATTGGTTTTCCTAAAAACAAGTGTATTGGAACAGCAGGAAGAAACGTGTGGTTGTGAAGACTGCTCTGTACGGGTAGATGACTGCGCTTACGGGAAGCCCTGCTCAGCTCATTCACATGCGGTGGGAGTAAGGAATATTGGCCTGTCCAGAACAGCTTGTCTATCACTATGTGTTGCATTAAATAACCAGACTGACTAGGATAACTGTGCTCATTGAGCAGGGAAGGAAGTGCTTATTCTTCCAGCTGGACTCCGAGTCTCCCTTGAGGGGTAACGTTCATAAAGAGCGAGCCCATCCGTTACAAATTAATGCCTTAAAAGTTAGTCAGATTCCGCAACAGTCCTCCCCTCCCCCTAAGGTCTCTTCTTCCAGCTCTTGCTCTGCACGAGGAAGGTTTCAAACAGAGCTCAGTGGAGGGTTTCTCGGTTTCCGTAGAGCTGCTCTTGGATGCATAGAAAACTGGTGCTGGAACCAACACCTAGAAGCTTGTTTTCTCTCCAAATAAACACTGTATTCTGCCACTCTTCTCAGAGTTTCCGCGTTTTTTTCAACCTTGTAAATGAAGCAACAGCTGCTCTTGCAGGAGAGGTAGAGGCTGAAATTCCTGTTGTTTTGGCCGTATTTCTCACCTCTCCATCTTCTTCCCTGGCTCTCTCTTCTCTCGGCTATCTAACATAAGAAATTTCTCTCCTCTTACAGGGCTTGGCCTTTATTTGTCCACCTTCATAAACTGCCACAGGTGCCTTGGAGTGCGGAGATGGTAGTGGTTAGCCCCCTCTGGGCACTAGCCTTGATGCAGGGGGCAAGCTGAGCCACTGAGCCTTTGAAACCTGAATTTGGACATTTTGTTTCCTGTCTTGCTCAAGCTGGTCATATTCTTGTCTCATCTGATCCCTCAAATGCAGGTTCATGGGGATCTGAAAGGGTCTTCTGTTGTTTTAGTATTTGGGCAGGGTTTATCACCATGGGATTCTGGCCCATTGTTACGGTTTGTGATGTAGCCGTGGCACAAACCAGAAATAATCTCAAATACATTATCTTAGGAGAAAAAAAAGTACCTTTTTAGTTATATAATTTGCAAATGACAGTCTTGGGATGTCCAAAATGTATCTTCAACTGTAGGTGTGAATGTACAATGTCAATGTTTTCTTTCCAGAATGCGTAGGTTGGTCGCTGCTTTTCTTGACACTGCCAGTTTTTGCTACCATATGCTTTCCTACTGCAAAACCTTTAGCACTGCTAACTTAGCCTAATGTAAACAGATGATGCTGCGCCTTATATCCCAGAGTGCTAAGGCTGGATAGGCACCACCTGAAATCCTGCACATGTGACTCGTCTTTTCCTAAACTATGCTGGAAGTTCTCCCCACCCTACCTTTTCTTCCAGTGGTTCATCTTCAGAAGAAGACGAGATGAGGGGTTTCCAGTGCCAGGCAAAATGGGGGTGTGTATTAATGTGGTGCCACTTGGGCATTTTGGGTTCTGTCAGTGTCTCCAGAAGGCCAGGCTCGGACAGGTTCTTCACTCACGCTGTGTCTGTCTTGCAACCAGGATGTCAATGCAGGCGAGGGGAGCGAGTTCACTGACAGTGGGATCGAGGGAGCAGCCACCGACACCGACCTCCTTTCCAGACGCTCCAATGCTACCAACTCGAGTTACTCCCCGACGGCCAGTCGGGCTTTCATCGGCAGCGACAGCGGGAGCAGCTCCACGGGCGACGGGCTTCGCCAGGGAGTGTACGAGAACTTTCGGCGGGAGCTGGAGATGAGCACCACCAACAGCGAGAACCTGGAGGAGGCCGGCTCTGCCCTCAGCGACGAGCAGAGCAGCGGCACGCTCAGCTCCCCGGGGCAGTCCGACATCCTCCTGACGGCCGCCCAGGGCACGGTACGGAAAGCTGGCGCTCTGGCAGTGAAAAACTTCCTGGTGCACAAAAAGAACAAGAAAGTGGAGTCGGCCACGCGCAGGAAATGGAAGCACTACTGGGTGTCCCTGAAAGGTACAGAGCGAGCGAGCAAGGGTTTTGTCCAGATGGGCATCCCCGGTGTCCTGTTTCCTGTGGGTTCCGTGTGGCTGCAGATGGAGAAGCCAATACCCTAGACTCTTACCAAAAGTTGCTGTGGGCTTCAGTGTAGTTAACATCCAGTAGGAGGAACTGGTCCTGACGTTTTTCAGAGGGGGGTTTATTTGCTGGTTGCTGATGTGCTCATGTTGTGGCGCGCGTGTAGGCCAAGACGCGTGACGGTGTGGCACTGAAGTGGGGTCCATATCCTGCTTTGAATCCCGCTGGCACCCCCGAGGCTGGCTTCCCCGAGCACTCGGGGTTTCCTTGCAGCAGCATGCCTGTGGCTTGCTGCACACTGAATACCTTGTGGTGAGCAGCCTGCCTCCTCGGCTTCCTGGGCCGCAGACCCTTTTCTCTCTGAATTTCCCTGCCAGGAACGTGCTCCAGGCCCGTTCAGGGCACAGAGACATTAGTGGAGTGGTGGAATGAGGGAGCTGGCCTCCCGGAGTGACCTCTAATTAATCTTCACGCGGTTGCATGAGCAGTAAAACGGAAAGCGATGCTCGCAGGGTTTTGGGGCTGGCCTCGCTCACCTCCGCTGTGACAGGCCTGGTCTGAGCCGGGGGAGGCAGAGCCATGTCTCCTGCTGTAGGTGGGATTACCAAAAAGCCCAGTGTAGTTTAAGCCCTGTCCTCCCCGCAGAGCGCTTTTTAAGAGCACTTCTGTAATTTTTTTTTTTTAATTTGCAGCACTGTTTTAAAACCAACCGCAGAGTTGGGCGCCAGCTCTTCCTTGGGCTGGTTAGAGGGATTGGGGAAATGAAAGAGGAGAGAGGGAGGGGTCCGGGGCAGGGGGGAGCACCAGTCTCCTGGGAGGGGGGCCCTGTGGCAGGAAGGTCTTGCTGTGAGGAGCAGACAAACAAAGGGCCATCTGGGAGGAAAAAGGGGAAGGATGAGCACGGAGGCAATGTTATTTTAAAGTGCTTTGGCTCAAGTGGAGTGTTTGCTCCTTAGATTGCTGTGCCTTAATAATGTCAGTGTTTAAACCAGGCTTTGAAGTTAACAGCTGCTATTGTTTGGCTGCCAATAGTTTTCTGCGAGGCTGGGTAACAGGGCATCCCTTTGCACTGCGAGGGCTGGCTCCTGTGGCAGAGAAACTATGTGCCAGCTTAAGTTTAAAACAACTGTCGGTAATGTGGGAAGGTGAGAGAGAGAGGAAGAGACCCCTTTTTTTAGAGGCTCCCAAATTGCAGGCTTGTTATACCTTTTTTTTTTCTTTTTTAACAACCAGAAAATTGTAAATATTATTTTGTAAAACCAAGGGGGTTGTTTGCTGTCCCCAGCTAAAATGCATTTTTGTTTGTGGCTGTATTGCTCTGAGTCAGAGCTGAAACGTTACAGTGGAATAAGGATTTGGTTTATCCTGTTTGTTTGTTTGTTTGTTGGGGCTTTTTTGTACATCAGTCTTTCAACGAGCACAGCTCATTCCAGCCCATTTTTCTTCCAGTTACTCATCTGCACCCAGTAATTATATGGCTTGGTCTTTGCCTGGCAGGGACTGTAGCAGCTCAAAGCTGCAGGAGGCTGAGGCAGGGCCTTGGAGGTTTTGCCTGGGGGCTTGTCTGGCACCGTCGGCCAAGCCCGGCTTTCACTCCTGCATCTTCCTTCTGGTCCCCTCGGTGGGATGGGGGGCCATGGAAGACCCCCACTTAGGGGTTTATAATGAAGTTTGTCATCCAGGGCTGTATTTCACTGCCTGTGACTCTCTCAGCCCATGTCTGCGGCTCAGTTTTAGCAATCCTCAGGCGAACAAAATGGCCCTCTGGGGCACAGCTTGACATCCCATACAGCTCGTGGTGTGCCCCCATGGCGTGGAAACCGCCACCTTGTTGAGCTAAGAAACTGGGCCATTGCTGGTGCTCTCTGCTGTGGGGCTGAAAACCTGAACAGGCCCTGGCAAACCTTCCCTCCTCCCTGTGGCAGTTTTACAGATGATTTATAGTCCCCGCACTGAATAGACGTGGGGTGGTGGCCGTTGCGTTTAAACGTGTTGCTTGCTAATGTACGATTGTCTCTTTCAGGATGCACGTTGTTTTTTTATGAGACTGATGGCAGATCTGGCATTGACCACAACAGCATCCCCAAGCATGCTGTCTGGGTGGAAAACAGCATAGTGCAAGCGGTGCCTGAACACCCCAAGAAGGACTTTGTCTTCTGTCTCAGCAACTCCCTTGGGGATGCTTTCCTCTTTCAGGTTGGTCTGGTTTTAGGGTTTTACAAAGTTGTTCTCTTTTTCTGTCTCCGACCAAGGAGGAAATCTTAGCTCTGGTTAAAATCAATGGAAAATCCTGCTGACTCTAGTAGGTTTGGGATTTCCCTCTGGCAGTGCTAGAGGAAGGACATATTTGGTAAATGCCACTCAAGAGACCCACCACCACATGCGAATCACTGTTAATTCTGCTCTTTTTATTGACTGGCCAGACCTACTTTGTGTAGATGGTTGGAACAAAGTAAGAAATAAGAAGTATTCTCACATCCCTGTACAGACTGGGAATTTTGCATGGTTTGACAGCATGCTTATAACAGACAGACCAGGCCAGTTGCCATATAGGACATACAGTAGTGCATTCAATGTGCTGTAACACCATCTGCATCTCATAAGACACGTGTATCAAAGATGGGACCTTGTGGAGAAGCTCAAGGGGTTTACAAGACTAAGAGGAGTTTGCAGTGCAAGCGGGTACTTGGACCTCCAGGTGCTTTCCCAATGGCGCTCCAGTTGCCCCTTGTTCATACAGATCTTAGTCAACATCTTGCTGTTGCCCAAGAGGAGACTGAAAGTGCATGTTTAGTTTTTTTAATCAGAAAATAGAAATGTCTGAATTTCATAGGGTACCTTTAAAAAAACCCCAGTATTTCTATCAAAGACCATACATTAGTTGTGTTTCACTGAAAAAGATTTCTGGGTTTTGATAACTACTGCTTCCTTGAGTGATTTTTAGGTTGGCATCCCTCTTTCTTATTGCAAGTTGTCACTAATCAAGGTGTGACACTCTTTTTTATTTATAATTGCCAGCCTGTGCTGAGGTTGTGCCATTTCCTCCCCTTTTGATTCAGTTTTCTTTTCCGGAGGAATCCCTTATTTATTTCCCTTTCCAGTGACAACGTATTCAGAGTTTCTTGCGTTCTTAAATCAGGAGCTACTCTGTGGTAGGATGTGCCTCCACATCATCACTCTCCTGTATTTCTAAGCAAATCATTAAAATTACACTGTCCTGTAGGTCCGTTCAAGGGGCTAAACAAGGGTCTAGAATCTCAAGCTAGTGCAAAATAAAAGTCTTACTGACTCAAGGACATGGTGCTGGCTTACAACTTGAAGAGACTGAGTATCTGCTTGCATGCTGAAGAAAAAAATGATTTTTTGCAGACTAGTTTCTCTGACACCTCAGTCTGATTTTTCCTCAGCTCTTAGTATAATACTGCACTGCCCCTTTCTGCTTCATGCCTTTCCTGGCCAGGGTACATGTATTTTGCCACCTGGAGAGCTTCATCAAGCTGTAGGGCTTGCTCTGCTGCGTGCCAGTCAGCCGACAGACGTGTGAGGCTGTTCAGCAGCGTTACTTAACTGCTCAGGTCATACACGGCCATCCACACACAACACAGTGCCATAGCAGCCGTTTTGATGAGAAGAAACCACAGACTGGCAGAAGACTGTTTCTGTCCTATGGAGACTGTGTACTTAGGGAGGAAAATTAGGGTTGCTTTGTAATGCGTACCGGTATTGGACATCTTGTAACAAGCCTTCGCACTGCATTGCGCCTAGAGACATCACGTACCTCCTACACGATGATGCCTTGCTCAGTCAGTTCTTATCATGCCTACACAGATCCATTACTTGCAGATGTCACATGCGCTTTCCAGGAGCTCAGAGCAACTCGTGACACCACATACTTATGTATCAGATGTTTGCAGCTTGTTTATGTGGTCCTTTCCATTGAGAAGCAGTGATTCCCCTTGCCTACTCATCTACCAGGAGAGTCTTCAGCTCCTAAAATCCTTCACAGATTTTTTCCCCTTCCTTCTCTCCAAGAAACCAAAAAGAAAACTGAATCTAATGGTACAGAGATAATATTTTAAACCTCAACAAGATAAAAACAGGACGTCTTGCTGTTCGGATTTTGCTAGGAATTAACAAAACATACCATTTCAGTTTAAGTCCAGTAGTACCCTGTTCTCTAGTGGGGGCTATGTTTTACCACCTGACTGTAAGCAAAGTGTCTTCTGTTCTGCAGATAATTGCTCTGTTTTCAGCAGAAGCTCCTCAGCAAGGGGAGCTCAGCATGTCTCAGCAGTGGTGGTAAGACTTTGTAAGGCACATCTATGAATGAGAGCTCATGAGTGTTATTACCTGGGCAGGGAGCATCTCCCGTTTAAGCAATGTACGTTGTGCAGTGCCAGCTGAAGAGAATTGGGAGTCAGAGATCTGTCTTTCCAGTGTAGACCCCATCATCTGCTTAGGACTTCTCACCTGACCTAAGGAAAGTGGTGGCATTCTGGGACGTGTGTGCTTCACCTGCTTCAGTCCCACAAAACTTTTGAGAGCATTGGTGTGAAGTCTGGCCGGTGCATGCATGATTTCCAGCGTCAGGCTTCTGTGGGAATCTCTCCTTGGCTTCAGGAAGCCATGTCCTTTGCCGTTAGTTGTCACCGCCAGGAGACCAGTGAGGATGACCTTCTTCAGCTACGCTAGCAACTGGAGAAGTCATACTGTGCTGTCTATTTATAGATCAGGTATCATCAGAAAGTTTAATTAGAACAAGGTGGTTTGGCACCTTGCTACTTTTTCAGCCACAAGGCAAATACCAGTGTGATTACTGCTAAAGGCTGACACTCGGCGCAAGTCCGCTGCAACCCTGAATTGGCTGTAAATTTCGTTTTACAGCCTACTGTAAAAAGGAATGACATTTAGTAAGAAGGCTAAGGAGATTTACTTTTTATTTTGAAAGTCTGGAAAAGGAACGCTTTGAAATATTTTTCTTTCTATGTCAAAAGCCTTTAATAAGAATAGTGCTTTTCCAGAAAAATGCATTGGGTCCCATGCCCCAGACTGATACCTCACAGAATCATAGAATCGTTTGGGTTGCACCATCTTGAAGACCATCTAGTTCCAGCCCCCCTGCCATGGGCAGGGACACCTTCCACTAGACCAGGTTGCTCAAAGCCTCATCCAGCCTGGCCTTGAACACTTCCAAGGGGGGGAAATGTTCCCTTTCCTGAACTGTCACACACACACTTGGGAAGGGACAGTACCAGAACTGTAAAAGTTACGATGAGCCTGGCTTTAATGATAACAAGGTTGACTTCATCAGAATGCTTTGGGAACTTCAGAAGTGGAAAGCTTGTTTGTCTATGCTTCACAATAAAGCTACTCATAGATATATGGTCACGTTTTATGCCATTAATTTATTACTAATTGTTGCATGCCAAAAAACCTTTGTGCTGTGAAGATCACAGGGTACATTCCCTGCCTTAAAGAACTGGGAGTTTAGAGAATGTCATTAAATGTTAAGCTACAAATTGTGGCAGCATTCCATTGAACAGGGAAGGTAATTCCTGAGACCTTGGTGGGAAACACCATACAGCTGCAAAGCACAGATATAGGTGTAATGCTAAGTGCTGAATGCCCAGTGCAGAGTTAAAAATGGCCTGCTTAGGAATGGGGTGGTTTTATTACTTCTCTCGTAAGTGGATTTACGGCTTTGAATCTTTAGATCAAAGGGAAAGGAAACTCCTTGGAATTGCATTTGTTAATCTCCAATCAATTTTAAAGAGGATCCTGACTTTTTTCCCCCCTCTTTCCCGCTCTTCAGACCTCTAGCCAGACTGAGCTGGAGAACTGGATCACTGCAATCCATTCAGCCTGTGCAACCGCGGTGGCAAGGCAGCATCACAAAGAGGACACCGTCAAGCTCCTGAAAACAGAGATAAAGAAGCTGGAGCAGAAGATTGATATGGATGAAAAGATGAAGAAAATGGGTGAAATGCAGCTGTCCTCAGTAACGGACTCCAAGAAGAAGAAGACCATACTGGATCAAGTAATCTCACTTGCCTGTGTGAAATAAGCCCCTAGCAAATATCTAAGGCCTCCCTCAGATTAGCGGTACCTCTGCCTGCTCCCACTGTGCTGTGTGTGCACTGGCAGAGCTTCCCAGAGCAGGTGGGACGTGTGTTGGCAAGAGAGCTGTGCCGGTTGCCCTTGTCGCACCGTTTCTCCAAACAGCGTGCGCTACGGTACAGCACAGGCTATCTTCTCCTGGCCTCCATGCCATACATTTGGCTAGCTGTGCAGAGGTTGAGTGAGGACTTCTGGGGGACTGAAGAGGCTACCAGGCCACAGCAACAGGATGCCTTAGGGAATGGCTGGTCACAGAGCAACAAATGCTGCTGTTGCTGTTATCTTAAGAGTGTAAGAGGCTGTTTTTTCTGCTGGCAGATGGGATGGAGGAGCCATCCCTTGTTTCTACGTGTTGCAAGGGCCTGCCTTGACCTCATGGCTGCGGCCCTGGCTGCCCCCCGGGGCCGCTGCTTCTGACTTAAAGTGGACAACGTCGTTGCGTTTGAGAAGCAGAGAGCCTAGAGCAGATGTCTCTCCCGCTGCCGCAGCGGCACCTTATTTTAGGAAACTAACATATGGCTCCTGCTTCATTAGTTTGTAGCTCTTTTACCACGGCTGCCAAACGCGCCTGTAATGCAAACCATAGGGAGCGGACGGGGCCCTAATGCGCTAAGCTAAAGAGATTTCGTACCCCGTGGAAGCCCGTGGAAGGGGGGAGAGAGGGGGGAGATGCTCGCCTCTGTCAAAGGGGCTCCACTCAAAGGCTGTCAGCCACAGTGAGAGGGCAGAGCAGTCTCTCTCTTTATGTAACTGAGTTTTTCTAAGTGCTTTGAAACAGTTTCCTATCAGCAATTTGAATTATTTAAATAAGTCCTTACATAGGCTGATTATAGTGCTCTTCTACTGATAAGATTAATTATCCCCAGTGTACTACACTTTTTCAAGTATATTGAGCTCCGCTGATGCTCACAGCAATGCTGCTGCTGCGGCTGCTGGTTCAGGGCGCTCTGTGTGTGGAATTTGCCGGGGCTTGGTCTTCTTGTTTCTTAGATGCCCTTGATGCATGAAAGAAGCCTCCTAAGGGACTGCTCAGAAGAGAATCTTGGAATACAAAGAAAATTAAAAATGGAAGTTTAACCCTACTAATTAGCATTGTATCAAAGGAGTAGTTGTCCCAAGAGAAGTCTTCTGCCGTGAACATAAAAAGAATTTGTTTTGCATCTAATGAAAACTTTTTTACTATTTGTGTCCTTTTTGGGGAGAGCAGGAAAGACATGGAATCAGCTTTTCTTGAATGGGATCAGCAATGGTGAAAGAGGTGTATTGCTGGGAACAGCGGAATTTTCTCAAGGCATTTACCATTCTGTTCTTCCTTCTCTCTCCTTTTCTTCTTCTCACTCCTCAATCTTCGCTGTACACAGATCTTCGTTTGGGAACAAAATCTTGAGCAGTTCCAGATGGACCTGTTTCGGTACCGCTGTTACCTGGCTAGTCTCCAAGGAGGGGAGCTCCCAAACCCTAAAAGACTGCTTGCTTTTGCCAGCCGTCCAACGAAAGTTGCGATGGGCCGTCTTGGAATCTTTTCCGTCTCATCGTTCCATGCACTGGTAAGTTTGAACAGAGGCCAGGGCTCATCTTTGCCAACCTGCAAATCGCTTCATGTGTCCAATGCAGAGATCATGTCGACAAACAGCAGTCTGTGCCTGGGGGATGAACCCTTACCTCAGCTTCCTGAAAGGGGTGGGTGTCCTGCATATAGATTAAAAAGCAGATGCTTGCAAGCCATGGCCTTACAGAAATTAAAGAACCATGTTTCTCCTAAACATGTGATTTTGAGTTTCCAAATCTGCACTAGAAACATGCTTTCTATAAACAGATCTGCCTGTTACAAGAGCAGGCTCATCTCTAATGCCTGCGTTCATGGGCTTGTTCCTAAAGTCCGGTGAAGTCAACTGGGGTCTTTCTGAGGCCTTCAGCACGCGTTGGCTTAGACCCTCTCGGGCATGACTTGCTCTCTGCCATACGGATGAATCTACTGACCCATTAGTCTAATATCCGGTCTGCGGTGATCAACACCTGATGCTCCACAAGGGAGGGGAAACGTTCTTCTCTGCTACGCATGGTGTGGCAAATAATGTTTAAAATGGTTGTTTAAATTTAAATAGTGTAACAACCCACCTCTTAAAAATACAGGGAAACATATTGCAAAGTGATGTTTATTTAATGAATTTAAATCAAGTTCCTGTAGTTTCGACTTGGACTCCTGGAGCTTCACAGAAATAGCTGAGCTCCACTGTTGTCTTGTAGATGTCAGCTGTACCCTTCAATTGAATCCAGGGCTGTAATTCAGTCAGAGGCGTTTTTATTCTTTTATATGTGAAAAGATTAGCGTCATCATCCTGATAATTGCTGGTGGATTTATATTTTTTTTTATAAGTGACGGGTTGTAATTTGCATTTATGCTTATGTTTTTGCATTTAGCAAAGCACTGAGCGTTAGCCTGAAAAACAGTCTGCTTCTTCATGCTGGTGTCTCTTGAGAGCCAAGTGAAAAAAAAAAATGTTTTGAATATGTTGTGTTGGAAAAGACACGTGCTTTCTTCTTTAAGCAAACTCTCGTGTCCTGCTTTGCCCTCAATAGTGCGGAGATGGTGCAGCGAGTCTCAGGCTTGAGCTGGGTGCTGCATGAGGATAGCATGGCAACCCTAGCACTCCTGAAGGTGTTTATAGAATCACAGAATGGTTTGGGTTGGAAGGGACCTTACAGACCATCTAGTTTCAACCCCCCTGCCATGGGCAGGGACACCTTCCACTAGACCAGGTTGCTCAAAGCCTCATCCAGCCTGGCCTTGAGCACTTCCAGGGATGGGGCATCCACAGCTTCTCTGGGCAACCTGTTCCAGTGCTTCACCACCCTCTCTTCACCTTCTTCCTGAAGTTCATCAGTACATGAGCCAGTGCTACATCTCCCAGGTGCCTCTGCACAAATGTCCCAGGCTCAGCTAAGAAATGTCGGCTGTGGAAATGGAGATGCTTGCAGTACTGTTTTTCCTTTTTTTTTTCCTACCTTTTCCTTGATTTCTCCATGTTTCCCAAGGAGAATCACCATTACTCATGCAGCGAGGGTTCCCCTGGGTACACAAGCCAGCCTTTTGTTTGCCCTGTCTTTGTATGGGCTTTTCTATCTGCTGCACGCAAACAACCGGTTTCTCAGCTCCGTAGCTTGGGGCATCACTCAGAGATTGGGGTGTTCCCCCTGAGGTTGCCAAACGACAGTCACATTTTGCTAGTTTCGGCTGTGGGAATCCTGTACAAGGGTGTTCCAGGAAGCATACGGCCAAGTCGGCAGGGTGGGTCTGTGTGTCTGTCTGGCTTCGCCTTGCACTCCCGTTCATACCTGCCATCTCCTACCACTCCCTTTTTCGCAGGAGAGCTCGTCCTCCTGAGGCCACCTCCACGTGGGAAATCTGCTCAAACTTTGGCCTAAACGATTCACCTCTGACTAACGTCGAACTAATTTCTACCAGAGCTTCCTCATTTGGGAAACACTCCCTAAATATTTGGTCTCAGTAAAGGCAAACATCTTTTTTCTCCAGGGTGGTTGCCACAGGCCATTTCTCAAGCACCCAAGCAGTTAACAGTGCTCTGATCTAAAGGGTCATTTCAGCTCACTCTTTTTTTTCTTCCTGTGTTTTGCTCATCCTTCAAATGTCCCTATCTTTGAGGAAATGCCGGCTTTAAATACCTTGACCTATTTGCAAGCCTTTATCTGGCCTTGTAACAGTTATGAGTCAGTTCCAGGATGCCCAGGGTGCTTCCACAGGAAAGAGCAAAGAGGAAGACCTGGCTTTTCGGGAGCAACTGATAAGTTTGGAAATGTCAGGTTTTGTGTGTCCAGCTTTGAAACCTTGTTAAAAAACAAAAGGGAAGAAAAAAACCCCGAACCCTTCACTGGTACTGAGGTTTTGCTCTGAGATGATTAGGCTGCTTCAAAATATCTCAGATTAAATACCAAAAAATGTTGGGGTGGCACGGTCCATTTTAAATTTTGATCGACGTTGGAAGAAGTGAGTTAAAATGCAGCAAGAAGGAAGTAGCCTGGCAGCATCACTGTTGTCCCCGTTGCAAGTACACATTGTTGCCACAGTGTCTGCCTTTTTTTTTTCAAGCAGATGCCACTGTTGGTTAGATTATGTAAGCCACGGTGTGGTGGGATGCTGCGACCTTTGATTTTAAAACCATGTGGCATTGACAGGTGGCGGCTCGCACAGGGGAGTCCGGAGTGAGGAGAAGGACGCAGGCCATGTCCAGATCTGCCAGTAAGCGGAGAAGCAGGTTTTCTTCTCTCTGGGGGCTGGATACTACCTCGAAGAAAAAGCAGGGAAGGCCAAGCATTAATCAGGTAAGCGTGTGGAAGTTTGTGATATTGTTATTTTCAAGGCTTATTTGTTACCATGCAGGATGCAGCTGAGGCAAAGAGTCACCTGCATCAAGTACTTACACATCCAACCTTAGCCTTGCCTGTTTAATCTTTCACGGCGTGTCGTCATCTCATTTATCCTCTTTAAAAATCAGTGACTGTAATTACAGATAAGTATACAGCAGCTCCTGTCAAACAAGGTTTGCAGTTCGCACCTTCTTTAGCTGAATTAGTTGCATTTCTCGTGTTGTTGCATTTCTGCTGCTTCTGCTTTTGCTGGAGGTACTTCCCTATACTCAGGAGTAACAAATCAACAGTGAAAAACAACTTTGGAAGGAAAAAACCAGAAGTGCAGACTTGTTTGTTTCTTTAAATGAAAATTATGAGTTTGAAGAATACTTCAAATGTAGCTAAGTTTGGGGAAAACTTCCTAAAGTAACAAAAAGCTTTGCATTTAATAGGGACAGTCCCTGTTTTGCTTCAGATTTTTAAAAAAGCAAAAGCTGAAACATTTCCACCCAGTCACTGCCCATATCTTTCTCTAGAAAACGTGTTTTAGAGTGGTAGGAAGGTGCTTCTCTGTTATTCTATCCAAACATCCCTAATTATAGCTTTCAGTTTTTGAGAGCCATACCTCACCTAATTGCAGGAAATGTAGGCTTTGCTTTTCTTTCTCTTCTTTCACTTTTTGAGTGGAGAAAGGCTTGGGACACATGTTGTTCTGCACCCTGTGATTTCTTCTTCCTTCTGTTAACGCAGCAGTGGGTGTTTGTTTTGTTTAGCAGAGGATGAATGCTGAAAAACTGTTTAGCTTGTTTTTAGTGAGACATTAAAAATTCACCTAATATTTAGTGGCTGAGCAAAAACTCAGAGTTTAGCTGGGAAACAGCAGATGCCTCCGTGAGCACATTCCCAGTTCTTTGCACTGGTGCTGCGACATCCCTCCTGCTTTGTACTTAGTTTCCCCAAATCAGGTGGAATCCCTTGTCCTGAACTAGGATCCTGCCCATGCTGTGTCTTCAGACCTGTTTTTTTTTCCTGATCTCGCTTGGTTTTTTTCCTTTCAGTGGGGATAAATACATTTTTCATGCTTCCTCCACCTGCCTCAACCCCGATCCCCTCATTCCTCCATAAGCGCAGGTGTGAAAAGGGATTTTGTTCCAGGTTAAAGGAAAGTCACACTGGAGAGAGTCAAAGAAAAAGTAAGGTTTTGAGAAAGTGGCAGAACATGTAAATGCAGTGCCTGAACACATTTTCCCTGCTCGTGTGTAGTAGCATGCCAAGTATTGCCAAGTTGAAGTGGTAAATCCCTACAGGGCAGTGACCTTCTCCCGTCCTCATGGCCCCTGCTTCGTTGTAGGCACAGCATAGTTAACAGCCAAACCCAGCAGCTTGATCGTAAAGCTGTGCTGATGTGGAGCTATGAAACTTCACTTTTCAGATTTAATTACAAGCTTCTGCTGCCCTAACAACCCTGTTTGCCTGTCGGATGCAGTCCTGTGCTGATTTGGGGCAGATCCTGTAAATATTCACATTCTGTCGTTTCTCCTGCAGGGAGCCCTGTTGGTTTTTGGCTCTCTGGCTGGTGCTGGGTTCCCAGGTTTTATTTCATTAGAGAAGGGTTGTGCTGACTGGCGGTACTTGAATGTTTTGCTAAGTACTTTTTGGAAGGTGGTTTGTTCCAAAACCAGCCAGAAGTGGATCCCTTCTTCTGATTTCTCAGCCTTAGCAGAGGTGGAGGAGCATTCATTTCCCTGGCTTTGCAGGTGATGAAAGGGAGCACAGAAGGACATAAAACTTCTCCAGCTCCACCAAGACAGCCACTGACAGACCACGAAGCAGAACTTGGCCTCTAATATTTCAGCATTGTGTCCCGTCACCAGCTTGTCCTTCACCCTCTTCTCTTTTAACAAGGGGATATTGGTATTTTCTTTTTCTGTGTTTTGAGGTGAATGTTTTTATTTTTCAGTTTGATTTCCATGCTAGATGTTAGATACACCGTTCTCCCCTTAGCCTGTGCCGCTGACACAATGGAGGCGCGCTCATGTTTTAAAGCAGAGTTACTGTGTTGTTCCTTAGGTGTTTGGTGAAGGAGCTGACTCTGTAAAGAAATCTCTCGAAGGGATCTTTGACGATACGGTCCCGGATGGCAAGGTAAAGCACCAACTCCCCAGCTGCCTCCTTGCCCCTTGTTCGCAGTCAGACTAAATGCAGCATTGACTCCGGCACACAAGAGGGGACGCGGAGCTCCCAGGAGAGGACCCCATGTGCGCTTGTAGCCGCTCTGGGAGGGTTGGTTGCCCACAGTCAGAAGAAGACCACTGTGTGTGGCATCCTAAGCGCAGCCGGAGGTGCCAGACCCAGAGGGGTGTCAGCGCTGCGTGCCAGGGAAATGCCTGCCCACAGGAGGACCTGGACATTGCTGGTTCTGGAAAAAGGCCCCTTGTGGCAGCCATATGAGAGTTTCATAATTTAGGGGTGGCACAGCTACGAAGCGCAGGGTTTCCTCTGTTTTGTTCTCTCGTGCTTCTGTGAGCTTCTGTGCCTGCAGCCACAGTTACAACGGCTTTCTCTTTCCCCAGAGAAAGGCAGCTATCAGACAGCATTAAGGCAGTGCTAAGAGCCACGTTCCTCCTGTAGTGAACATGGGTTGAGCTGCGTGAGCCCACTTCAGCGAACAGGGATGCTGCAGCTCCATCGCTTCCTGGGGATTTATAGCTTGGAGTGCAACTCGGATATATAGAATGCAGTAAATTCAAAATAACTGCTAAGATTTGCTATTTTGCCATTTATAAGTATAAGAACTGTTGCATCTACAACAGTTTTGCTGGCCTTGGATTGGTTTACCCAGAAACACTGTGCATTTAACTTTTTTAAATCTCTTTTTATCACTATTATGTGTTCTTGCATTCCTAGCATTCCCAATAGCCATAGAGTGAAATCCCAGGAAAAGCACACTGCAGCCCTGTAGCTGTGTGGCTGACAAGGGAAGGCACACTTTATACTGCTCAGGTAAAACTGCAAAGTTTCCTGTCCAGACAAGCCTTCAATCTAGGCCGATGAGTAAAACGTCTTGTCTACAAGAGGGCTTTTTGATACAGCATATAGCATGCTTTACACTTGTTACTGTTGAAGATGGAGTTCGTATTTGGCTGGTAGAGTCACAATGGATTCTGTCTATTTAGAGGGAAAAAGAAGTGGCACTGAGCAGTGTCCATCAGCACAATCCCGACTGCGATATTTGGGTTCATGAGTATTTTACGCCGTCTTGGTTCTGCCTGCCGAACAACCAGCCTGCTCTGACAGTCATCCGTCCTGGGGACACCACGCGAGATGTGCTGGAAATGATTTGCAAGGTAAGGGCTGCGAGCGTGCCCTGGAGCAGGGTGGGGTGCCTGCAACGCCGAGCCCTTTCGCTTGAACCTTGTAGTGACTTGCTCACAGTGCTCAGACTGCAGGTGGGGGAATCAGTTGTATGCTAGATGAAAAATGTGGATTATACTGAAATTTTCACGCTAGCACCACACGAGAAAAATTCCTACAGCTGGAGCTAAACTTGGTATGGGTGTAGGGAGAGGAAGGCAGACTAGTTTTTGCCCTTTCCACTCCGGCTGCTGTGCATGAGCCTCCGAAGGGCCTTCACTCCCTGAGTCTGCCTCTGCTGCCACCTCTCACGTACCCACCCACCCACTCCCCCTCCACTGGAGACCAAGCTGTGTGTGGGATACTTCTCTCCCCATCTGCCCCCCGACATCCTGCCCCCCAGCCTTCTTTCAGTGGACGCCCCGTAGCATGGTAGTGACTAACGACCAGTGACTGAAGTCACGAATGCGCTCTCCTCGCCCGACTGCCCTGGTTCCCCTGCCTCTGCCAAGCCCTCCCGTGGCCCGTTCCCTGCTCTGTCAGGCAAGCGGTGCATTCGCATCCTTTCTCAGGTGCCAGGTCGTCCTGTTTGCAGGTGCTGTTTCTCCTTCCTTTCTCCTTCCTCCCCTCCGGCTGGCGTGGGGGAGGAAGGCATGGAGAAAACAGCAGCAGCAGGAGTAGGAGAAGGTGCTTGTGTTTGCTGTCTACATCGCGGAGTCAGACTCGCCTCGTGTAGGTGGCGGGAGGGAAGAGAGAGGAAAGCTTTTATCTGCATTTGGGGAGAGTGGGAGAAAAACCACCTGGATTTCTTTTCAAGATGAAGTATCAGAGACATTTGGCCATTAAAAAGAGTTACATCTCAGCAGAGAAGTTGAAAGCTTTGACAAATTAAATACAAGCTTTCAGTTCTGGCAGCTACATAATGTATGTTTTCCGCTAACTGGCTGACTGCAAGCTAGACCCAACTCGAGACACGTGCCGTTCTGCAAAGTGAGTCCTCTTTTGTACACCAACAACAGCAGAAGAAAAGAAAACATTTATTACTTCTAAGAGCTTAACTTTGGGGACTTTGAGAACATGTTGCATGAGCTTTGAAAAAGAGAGGGAAGGTGAGAGAGAAGCATTTGTTTGCAATAATTGTACAGCGTGCTCGTCTCTTTGCCAGGTGCACAATTACAGAGCGCTGCAGCTTGTGAAAGCTCTGCACTGTATTCAGGAAAAGATGACATTTTTGGAGAGAGACATAATAGGGAAGCTGGATGACACATTATTAGTAATGATTTATTTTTAGGATTTATATTTTCCTTGGGATAAGAGTGATTAACTCAGTGGGTCACATCCTTAGCTGGAGTAAATTGGTGTAGCTCTACTGGTTCCAGTATGTGCCTGCTGAGAATGTGGTCTCTCGCTGTGTGTTTGATTGTTGTGGGTGGTGGTGTACAGGGAGAAGGGGAGGTGGGTGTTTGTTTTTTGCATAGCTATTATCTGTTTCTTTCCTTTCTGTAAGAGTCTTCAGTCTGGAAAACACTGATGGATGCCTCCTTTTCTGTAGCATTTAATAATCAATCTCTTTCTTCTGTCTCTTGCATTCAGCTCATTTTTTCCCCTTTAATATCTGATCCACACCATTTCACATCAGTTTGCCATCTGCCATCTGAGAACCAGTCAAGCTCTGGTATAGTAAACATTTCAAGATCTACATTTCATATAAACCTCTTCATGTTTGTAGATGTGGTTAAATCTATCTGTGCCATTAAACTGAGCTTGATTATTCTGTTGGAGAACATTAAGTGCACTCAAGTCATTGCAGAAAATGTGTTCTTACACTAGCATTGCTGCTTGTTATTATACAGGTTTTGGTGGCTGCTTTCTGACACTTTTATGATTCAAGATTGGTGGGAGGAGAGTTTAAAGCATACTTTAAAGTGGTTCCTCGAAGATTTCTCCTAAGATTTAACTAATAACATCACTTGGAAGACAGGAAAAGTCTGTGTATATGCATCAAATTGTTTCCTATGGGTAATACTGATCAGTGTGGATGTGTGTATGTGTATTACTAACATTTGCATAATGGTATACCTTAAAATTGAGTAGAAACACACATGCGTATATGGATTTAGGAAGAACCAGTAAGGAGAGAGTAACACCAAAAATCAAGCATAGAACACTACATGGCATTTAGTCTTTTGACTGAACTGGATAAAAAGTGAGAAGCAAAACCAGTTCTGTTGTCTCACAATTTGCATTTTTCAAATGCACAGGGGGCAAGAAGCAGATTTTCCCTAGGTGTCTGGATCCGTGCGCGAAGTCCCTGAGAAGTTACTTAAGCCTGATGCCCTGTGGGCTTACTTTGATTTTGAGCTGGTGTTTCCCTACTGAGCAAGCTTGGGCCACACAAATGCGAAGCCGGAGTAGAACGGTGGGATGGCTAGCGTGTTTCCGCGATGCTGTCATTTCAGCGCTAACGAAGGTCTCCCCCACCAAGCTGGAAGAATATGCCTGTCCCTCGCTTTAATTAGAAGGGAGCCAAAATGGATGAATAGCTGGGGTTGTGCGTGGACCCGCTGCACCACGCGGAGCCAGTTGAGTCGGGTCGCACCTCAGGCTGTAAATTCTTCTTCAAGAGCACGTTGGTTAAGCTGTCGGGTTGTGCTTTAAATTGGGCTAGCTGCTTAATTTACTCCAGACATAGCCAGAGTTATTAGGAGGGAAATAAATAAACCAAGAAGCTTGTTTGGACTGCCAAAAGGTACTTTGGGTGGTTGCGAAAGGATATTAATGTCAGTAAAGCTGCCCTGTTTCTGCTCCCACCTTCCTGCATATGTCACTAGATCAGCAACAAAAAAAGGGTTAATGGTGTGGGTTTTAGGGCAAACTGACTACATCCACTTTAAGAGTCGGTAGAAAATAATACCCTATTTGAAACAGTTTAACTAATGTAAAATTTCGAGGTAGGCAAAGCCTTGCTGCAGCTGTACAAATGTTAATTAACTAAATGGCATGGCTCATGTACTGTACCGTCGCAGTTAATGGTGATGACTCTCATGGCCTGACTTGGATGGCAATGCAGGGTAGCAGGTGAATGGCATCCACCCTGGCTGATGGTGTTTCTAGGAAGAAACGAGTGGCTCAAAATATGTGTGAGTTGTATCCAGTGACCTGTGCCCTGGCGTAGTTCAGGGCTTCAGCGTGGCGCTAGTCATCTTGCGGTTGGCTCCCTCCTGCCCTCTGAAATGGCCAGCATGCACAGTTTTCATGTGAGCAAGTCTCCCTGCAAAAGCACCTGTGGAAATGGAGGCGTCTCCTCCAGGCCTGACGGGGTGCCCATAGCAGAGCAGGCAGAGGCCTGTTGCTGATGGCCGGGATGGCGGATGGAGCCGCTGCCTGCGAGAAGGCTGCTCTTCGAACCTGCTCTCAGGGCACACAGACTGCAGAGCAGGTTGGGGGCAGGGGTGAGCCTACCTGCCCCTGCCCCAGGGCCGACGGGGGCTCTGAACTGGCGGTTCCGCTGGAGGGATGTTGGGGTGCCTGGAATGCAGGACACATAGGAGAGCTTTGATGCAGGAGACCACAGGAAGATAGGCCTTGGTGGCAGGAGGAGGCCTCCAGGTTGTCTGTTTCCCTTTTCTGCTTGTGTGGCTTTTCCACATAGAATTTTTCCCCCCCCCGGGTTTGCTGTAAATAGCTCAGGCATTTTCCAGACTTCCAGAGAGATTTATCATGGACTTCTCCCACCAGATGTGGGGTGTGCAGTCTGTGGGCTTATGTCCCCTCTGTATCTTTGTGTTTGATTAGTGTGCAAGGCGCTCTTTAGCTTGTGTCCTGGGATAGTAAATTAATCTAACCAGAAACTCATCTAGGGCTCCTTTGTATCATATCTGAACAATTAAAACCAATTCTGCCTCCCTTTAGTTTCTGTGGTGTTTGTATGTGTGTGCATGTAAGAGAAAAAACTAGTGAAAATGGTCCATGGACAACGAGCAAAGCAAAATGCTTGTCAAAAAAGAAAGAGAGGGTGAGGATCTCCTACCTTCAGCTCTTTTTATTTTGGACTTTGATAGATTTCACATTCCTTATTTAATTAAGTGGGCATTTGTCTGGATTACAGAGGTTATCCCATTTCAGATACTCAGTTTCGTATACGGATAATTTGGTCTTTGAATTGGACATATTTGAGCGTAGCACTACATGGAGCGCAGCAACAGATCTTTTTTTCTCCTTATTGGTAGCTCTTTTTTATTCATGGGCTAATCTAGGCTTGCAAAAATGTTCCCTGTTCTCTGTTTGCTGAAGGGTTGGCTGGGTCAGTGTGTGATCTTTTCCACAGGTCACTCGGTGTACATTACTCATCATCTCTGCTGTGTGATCAGTCAGCTGAGCCCCAGTGTATCATCGTCGTCGCTTGAACTGGATAAGCGAGGCTTTAAAAAAACATGATAAATAGGCAGTAATGACAGTCTTGTACAGATTTTCAAATGTTTTTAGTAAAACCTAGGAACCTTTGCTAATCTGCTCGTATAAAATTAAAAGGCCAATATATAAAAGCACGTAATAATGGGATTTCAAAAGGGACAGTGTGGAGAATTTAACTCCTGTATTTGTGAAACACTTTGGGGTGTTTATTAGCTTTAGTCAACAACAGTTTACAAACTTTGGAAGTAACTTCTGAATGACATCCTTTGTGTTTATCATAATTCTAATGTGTTTTGATTACACACTGCATTAACCTCTGCTTAAATCAAGCTTATTAATTGTGCTGAGAAAAGGTCGTTAACATCTCCCAGACCAAATGCCGTATCCTCAGCTAATTATAACTAATTCATTTAGATGGTGTGACCTGTTTCCACTGGGATGTAATCCAGCATGCAGCTCCTGGCTTCTTTTAGCCTTATAAAACCAGTGTATCCTGAGCTGTTTTGAATTTAGAGGACATACAGTTGGGTTTTTTTTTTTTATATTAACCTTGCTTGAAATTTACCACATAATTACTCACTAAATTATGAAGATGCTAAAAACCCAAAACAAACAGAAAAAACCCTTTCCTGTTACATTTTTCTCTGTTAGCAGAACATTTAGTTTCCTCCGTGTGATTTTAAATGCCCTTTGTAAACAAAGGTGTGCTCTGACTCTCCTGCTGTGACAGTGTTTCTTTCTGCAGTAGCCTGGGATGGAGCAGAACTGCCAGATAAGCAGAACCAAAGAGCCTGCTTAGAGTACTGGCACTGCCCTTGACGTCCTGGTCAGTGGTTTACATGAACGCAGGAAGAGGAGGAGGTTCAGGTTCTTGTTGAGGTCAGGAGATCATGGGCCTCTTGTAAATGATGATGCTGGGGCATTTTTCTTCCGATGAGTGTCAGGCTGTTTTCTAAGTGTAGGTGACATGAGCCATTGCTTTCCTCTTTTAAAGCCTCTTCTCTGTTTCTTGCAGACACACCACCTGGATCACTCTGCTCACTACCTGCGTCTTAAATTCCTGATTGAAAACCAGATTCAGTTTTACATACCAAAGCCAGAAGAGGATATCTATGAACTGGTAATGCTACCTACTGAGCAAAATTAAATGACACTTGGTAGGACACTATTAATTAGTGTTTATCTGACATTTGTAACACGCAGAGTTATGCTTTTTAACTTACAATTATAAGGCTTTACACACCACAGCGAATTAGCCTGAAGTAATCTCTCCAAACATTTCATCTTGAGGGGAGACTTGGTGTTTAGCTAATGTTTGTGCATGCATATGTCTGTGTGCAAGAGAGAGAGGAGGAACAGCCACAGGTAATGTGTGAAAGTCACTGTAACATACATTTAAGCTTAATTTCTCTCAAGGTTGCCTTTTCCTCTTGTTCTTATTGTCTTTGGTGGTTTTAAAGACATAGTGCTGAGGGCAGAGTAGTTCATACTCAGATCACTTTGCCTGATTTTTAAAGAGGGGGTAGTAGTTAGGGTTTTTTGGTTTGTTGTTGTTTGTTTGTTTCTTTCTTTCTTCCTAAATAGAAAGGTAAATGTTGAGGTTAAACCTCTGGAGTTATGTGTGAGAATATACTTTCCTAATTGCTTCAGTTGGATGTTGTCATGTCATTCATCTCAAAAGCAGACTTCAAAGGAATTTTGAAATGAGAGATTAAAAAAAGAGACCAAACAGAATTAGTGTCATGCTTTAACTTTATGATTTTACACATGTATGTGCTAAAGCTTTTAAAGGTCCTTTTCATTGGTGGCTGTTTTATTTATAACAAGTAAAACTTTGCCAGTTACGGATGCTTTTGTTCATTTAGTAAAGAACTTGTGGGGTTTGCCATAAACACTGTCAACAAAAAAATAAGAGCGAGAAAGTGCTAGTGGAGTACTGAGGCTGGGAAGTGAAATATAGTTGGGAGAAATTACAGCTCAGAGGAGACTGATTTTAGCTTTCGTTTCCAGGAAGGACTTTGGTGACTTGTCTTATGCTGAGAGGATGTAAGATTAACATAACCAGCAGTTATTGTTTATTCTGAAAAAAAAAAAAAAGAAATTAACCCAAAACTCTGCAGTCAGTGAGACTATGCACATGCCAAAAGATTATAGTGTAAGTAGGGGCTGCAGGGTTATATCTAATATCGTAACATTTAAACAACACACATTTCTATGTTTGCCTCTGCGTGTGTGCTTGTTTCGGAAAAAAATTTGAGTTACTTTATTTAAGTGTTTAATTAAATGATTCTGGTGCAATATGATAAAACTAATGCCTCTACTTTTGTAGTCTCCTGAATAGCTGTTTATAATACTGTGTAATGTTGATGTCACCGTGCTAGAGGTATCTTCCATCTACTAAAATGTTTTTACAGATATACATTGCTGCAGAAAAGGCAAACATAATTTCTTAGTGTAATATTACTTTTCCCTGCAGAATGTATCAGATGTATTTAAGTAAGAAACAGAGATTAAATATCTATATTCCATTTATCTCCAAAACATTAATGGTGATGCTCTGTGCTCTGACACAGTCTTTCAGAAACTCATGGGCTCCATTTATTACCTGTAAAAATGTTACTAAGGGCTCAGGGGAGAGTGTTTAGCATGAGGTGCTGTAGCAGGCACTGATACTTTTAAGTACCTTTTATTGTAAACTGAGTGTTGGAGTGTTTTAGATGAATGTACGAGACCAGAAGCTTCCCCAAAAACCTTGTAGTTAGGATGAGGCTTGGGTGAAGGTATTTGGAAAAGGTAGCCCTGGTAAAGGATACAAGACCAAAAGTAGTAGAGGAAAAAAGTACAAGGAAGATAAAATCTTGAGAGAATAATAATAACAACAGTCATTGTCATCATCTTGCAAAGCTGCTATGAGAAACACTGTGAGGGGTTGGAGTGGCTCAAAGGGGCAATGCTGCTACTGTCAGGAAAAGGTCCTGTCCCCGGTGCCTGGCAAAGCCCCTGGGATGCTCCTGGTATTGCTGTCAGACCTGTCCGTGCAGAGCCCCAGGCCCTGCCCTGGGACTGGGGAGGGTGTTCCCCCATAAGCCTGCGGTGCCCCTGGTGCCGACAGCTTCACAGCAGGACCCACCGTAGCCCCAACACACTGCCTGCCTTGGGGGTCGGGACAGGGGGTCCACCGGGCACGGAAATGCAAGCAGCATCGAAGGGCCGGACTGGCTCTCTGGATCAGGCAGCCCAGCTACAGCCTGTGCATCCCATCCTGTTCAGTAGAAGGTCTTGCTTGGAAAGGGGCTTTGGGATGCTGGCAGCATGCAGCTCCTGTATCCCTGCAGGATATCCCTGTCAGCCATCCTCCTTGGTTCTGGTCCTGCATGCTCAGTTTAGATGACTGTGGGGATCAGACACAAGTTTTGTTCTGGAAATACTGCTATTTTTGCTCCTTTTTTTCTTTCTCCTCTTTTTAAAACCCTTGCTGAAATCTAGCTGAGATTTTTGTAAATGTCATTTGACTCATTTTCAGGTTCTGAATAATATGTTCCTGTATTTGAAAACTACATTTTAAAAATATTGCTAGCATAGCATCCATGTTTAGTTGTACATTTTCTTTTACTACATACAGTTTACATTTAAATGGGCATGCAACTGTTCTGTAATACCTAATATTTGCAGTTAAACAGATGTGTAGATGCTGATATTAGCGGAGAAAAAATTATGTTTTTATTAAAGAAGCCCTTTAATAATGAGTTACTCTTCTTTTTTAAAGAAATGGTTTAAATACTTCAGTCCAAACACTGGTGCCACTTAGTTTCAAAATGTTAATTGTTGTGAATTGCTTTTTAACACACTCGTACCAGCATGTAAACAAGATCAATATTTACCTGCGGGCTGTTATTCACCCGTGGGTGTAATTTTCTCCAAAGGCAAAAGGATGGTTTGTTACTTGAGTGCCAGCCTGTGCTATGGAAAAAACAGCTTCAGATCTTGACTGAGCCAGAGGTTTCCAGAGCATCAAGGCTGTCTTACAAGGACTAAGTCAGGGCTAACTGCCAAAGATGTCAGCTCCGAGCCTCTAGATGTCTGGTCCGGGTGATTCTGTCTGGGAAAGCGTGATTTCCCTGCCTCAGGTGGGGTGACAGGCCCTTTGTTCAGGGCAGGACCCAGGTACGATAGCAGGCCAGACAGAACAGGACAACATAAGGGAGTTAAAGCCACGAATGGCTGAGCTGTGCTGGAGGGGTGTAGTGCTGCTGAGGTGTCGCTCGGCTCTGGAAGGCAGAGTGGGTTGCACCTGCCTGCGTAGGCTTCTGGGTTATTACCTAGGTGTGAATTTGTGCTGGTCTCCCAGGAAGGATGTTAATGACCATTTCAAAGGCTTGGGGGCTTTTCTCTGTACAAATAAACGTAAATGTGTTAAAGATGAAATTTCATGCTAAGAAAGAGCTGCATATCAAATCTGATAGTCTTCTAACACTGAAGAAATAGATTTAAGAAACAAAATCTCCCCTTGTGATTTGAATACTATGGAATACTTGAATGCCTGCAATGTCTTAATCAAAATAATACAAAAGCGTTAAATGATGACTACCCATAGCATACAAAAACAAGAATAGAAGCTCTGTTTCTTGTGCACTTAAAATGGTATTGACCGAGTGAAATAGATGTATCCTTGCCTTACGTCGGAAGCAGTAAAACACTGCTTCCTCCTCTGTAACTGTGTTTTAACCTTAACGCGTAGTGACACTACTAACACGTCACATGTGGAGAAAAACTGATATATGGTGACCACAGTCCATTTCTTCCACCCGTAATTAAAAACAACCCTGTTCAGAATGATTATGGCTGATGTGTGTCCCTCAGTAACGTATTTTTGTGTTTTTTTTTCTATTCAGCTGTACAAAGAAATAGAAATCTGTCAGAAAATTACACAACACATTCAAATAGAGAAGTCTGATGCATCGTCAGATATTTACGGTGAGTTTCTCTCCTTGATTTGGTTTTACTTTTCTACGAAGGCAGTTCTATCACGGCAGGTTCCTGTTTGCTATTCACTGATATACCTGCAAGACCTGTTGAACACAATAAGAAAACCACATCTGATCCCTGTGCCACCCACAGAAAGCTCGCTCCCCTGCCCTGAAGCAGGACAGCTTTATTCGTAGCGCCTGGAGCACTGCGTTTCCTGGCGCTCGAGCTGCGGAGTGCGCAGCGCTTTGATGGGAGCTACGGTGGCAGAAAGGACAAATGTTTTCTTGTTCTTGTAGTTTCTCAAAACGCCACTTACGGAGGCTGTGCAACGGAGTGCTGGCGGAAAACAGCATCCTTGGCAGTTGTCACATCTTACATGAATGCCAGCTTGGCGGCGTTCGTGGGGGCCCTGTGTTGGGGCACCACGGTGTTCGCGAGCAGCCTGCAGCGGGGCTTGGGAGAGGGCTGCCACTGTGCTTGCTGCTGCCGGCAGACTCTCCTGCTCCTCACCCCATGCACCAAGCGTGATGGCAGGGATGCAGCCAGGAGCATCACTGAGGGTGGGGAGCATCTCGAGGTCTGCGGACGGGCAGCTGTGCAGGAGAGGCTGCTTGGCCCCTTTCCCTGCCTGCCTCGGGCATGCAAGGTGGGTCCCTGTCTTGCCCTGACATTCCTGAGGCTGGAGGAGCCTGGCCCCAGTGTACGCCCAGCCCTTGAGGATGCCCCATGGGCTCCTGAGGCCACAATCTTGACACGTCATGCAGATCTGTGTATGGAACATTACACAGAGGAAATCCTCCCTGTGTAATTTCAGCAAAATCCCTGATCTTCACCTAGGGGTGGTCGTATTTTGTATCTTTCAAGTATTTTAAGTTACAGACCTCCAGCCTGGTGAGGTTGCCCTTTGGTCTGGCAATTACAGTTCTGTAGTATATTTTAAAGTTATTTGAGCAACCTACCCTGTGGGAAGGCAATCTGCATTTTTTTACTGTTTATCTAAATATTCTGTTTTAATGACTGGAATAATTCTGAATCCCCAAACTACTTAATATACAGCTGCAGGCTGTTTGAACGTTGAGCTCTGCTACGAAGAGTGGTACTGACTGCAGTTTGAGTATTGAAGGCCTAAGAGAGAAATACTAACCAGCACCGCGATGGCCCTAGGTTTGATAATTATGCTGTGCTTGAAAGCCCTGCAAGATTTAGGGGTATTGTGGCATTTCCTGCTTAATTCTTTTTCTTCTCTGTTTTAAAACGATAGATGGGAAAGACCGTGAAATGCACTGTCATGTCCTGTGAAATGAGATCAGCTGTGTGAGACATGGGATGTATCTGTTCAGTGGCTCTGACCCTGCAGGGAGCACATGCTAAATGCTCCCAAAAAGAGCTGGCTTTGCTCTCATTGAAAGAAAACGGCAAAACTTCTTGCCCGTTCTAAAAACACATGTCCAAATTAAAAACATATGTGCCTCGATTCCTCCAGAATAGGTGGAAGTCTTCATTTTGAAGCTGGACGAGATTATCAAGATCATTAGTGACAAGACCTGTTGCTGTTGCTACTATTCCAGCTATAGCAATAATAATACTTGTAAATCACCTTGAATTTTCAAAATAGCTTCACAAGCAGCTGTTCATTAATCCTGACAATGTCGATTTAGTGCTTCTATCTCCATTTGACAGGCATGTTATCAAAGACAGGGAGGTGAAACGCTTTCACCGAGGGTGCAATTAGACAGGCCAGCGTAACTCACTAGCCTGGCAGAACGGTGACATAATAAAAGAAGTGAATAGCCGTCTGCCGCCTTTGCGAGCTGTTTTGGGCCAGCTAGGAGATCCTGGTGGTGGGGAGGGGGCAGAGCTGCCCCCTCGGGGCGTTAGCAGGCCTTTGGAGCAGCTTGGCCATTGTGCCTGAGCACACCATGAGTTCAAGTGACGTAAAGAGGATGGAGCAGAGCGTTTCAGGAGAAGCTCACCTGGGGACACTGCATAGTGTCTCTAGTCCCACCAGCCTGCCTGTGGTCAGAGGTGCTCCTGGGGTGTCTGGCCAGCGTGTCGGGCCTTGCCACCATTAGACCTGTCAGTGTGGTGCTGTTGCTGATGCTGGGCCCATACATTCTTGCCCCTTTCACTGGTACCAGCCTTTTTGCAAAGGTTGTGTGGGCAGGAGTCAGGGCACACCAGCCGTAAGAACCTGCTGCTTCCAGCTCCTGTATGTCCTGGGATCACACTGGCATTTTTGTGAGCAACTGTCTACCTCAGGGGGGGCGCGGTAATTTTCTGGAGGCGGATTTGCTCAGGTATTGTGCTGGTTCAGTGAGGCTGTGTGCATTCATAGATGCAGACTTTTGTTCTCCTGTCATCAAAACTGTGCAGCGAAGGAAAGGCTCCGTCTGGGTCACCACCCATCTCTTCACACCTGTGTTTCAGAGTCCATGCACAGTTTGATAATCATCTTTTTGGCAGTGATGCCAGCTTATGCAATCGCTGGCACTTCCACCCACTCCTGCCCTTCCTCTCAGGCACTGCTGGGACACGTGTTTGTGTGGAGCACCTGCAGAATTCAGCCAGATGGAAAACGTACATTCCTACTATACATGTGGATATACAAACCACACATACATGTGTATGCGTATGTGCAATTATGCATATATATGCAAGTATATATATATATACATATATCTGCACACACACTTGACTGAGGTTTTTCCCATCTGGATGAGTTCCCTGCTCTGCTTTCGTGCATGGCAGTGAAAGCACTGGCACCGGCACTGCAGTGGAACAGGAATGCTGCGTCAGATTCTTTACTGGATCCAGCCACATCACAGCTGTGGAAATAAACCAGTTTATCCCTACTTGGGGTATGGTCACATACCCTGTCTGCAGAGGGGCCAAGTGTATTTGAGATGACCATTTCAAGGCTGTTGGCAATTGCCCATCTCTCATTTCTTAAAGGTGGTGACAACACATGCAATTGCTCCTTACACCCCTTCCACTTTGGCTTTTTTTTTTTTTTTTTATTTTGAATGAAAGCCAGATTAAAAAGCCCTGAGGGATTGGAGGAGGCAGAGGTCTTCTCATGGAGCAGAACGGGAGCTTGGGGCTGCTTGGGTGTGCTAATCTCTTCGCAGTTAGCCACAGCGAGAGAGCCTGAGATGTAACTCAGCCTTGGTTTAAGGTAGCTGGCTGCACCACAGCGTGTCAGTTGCAAAAAGGGTGATGGTCTCAGTAACTGGTAGTTTTTGCTGACTCCGACTGCAGTCTTGGGCATGCTCCGCTGTGCTTCTGGTGAATGGTTTCCCAGGTAGGCTTTGCAGTGATGACAGCCAATAACTACTAATTTTTTACAGCTGCTCTTTTGTTTAGTTGAAAGTGCCAATGTTGATGTATCGAGTGGGCTTCACAAATTTCATTTTATTCAGGCTGAGTAGCTCACATACAGATTCCGAGTAGCTCAGTAAGTCACGAAGGGCCATATGCTCCTTGCTTCTAGGCTGCCACATTCTTCCCCCTCCTTTCTTTTCTTTAAATGATGGATGAGAAAATAGCATCTCACCCATAAGCACCAACTCGAAGGGAGTCCTCAAGTCGGAATAGGCACCCAGCTCATCTGCTTCCTCTTCGCTGGTGGCTGATTCCATGTCAAACAAGCCTCTCCCCCCAGACATTTGTAAATGTTTTTCTAGTCGGAAACAGAGAGAGCAAATGGTTGCCTACACCCATTTAAGGAGTAGCGAATTTTCAGAAAGGCAAATGTTCTGCTTTAGATAACTCTCAACAATAAATAAACAAACCCTGTTTAACTAACCACGTTGTATTTCCTTTACACGTTGTTATCTTACACAGTGTCAAACACAAATGGCAAGAAAATCACCAAAGCCAAACGTAACAGTACCATTTGCACGGTTTAAATTAATGCCATGTCAGTACTTCCACTAGGAGGCCGGTCTATGGGTCGTAGCTATAAAATGTGTGCTGAGCTGAGACAGCAAATAACAGGTCGTGAATAGAAAGGGGGTGAAGGGGAAGCGGCATTTTTACAAACGTGTCCAGTCCAGGAATTTAAAAAAGTAAAAGCTGGCATTCCGCTTTAGCAGGCGCTGTTACGCCTTGTCTGAGTTGAGGGTGGCATGTCAGCCTTCGCTCGCCGTTTCCTGCCTTTGGTCACTTTGGGTCACAACTCACGTCTCTGTGCAGTTTTTGTCTGCAAACGGCAAAACTTCTTGAAGTGACCTTTTGTGGCGAGAGAATTGGAAGTCTGCTCCAATGTTTTGCAGCTGTGGTATCCTCAGATAAAGCTGTAGATAATTTATGTATACACTCAGAAATTGAGTTCAGGTTTTTGTTAAAGCTTTATTTTTCATATTTTTAACTTTTCCTTTTTGTTTGTAAAGGTTTATGGGAAAGGAGGAGGGATGAATTCCTGACTGCCTGCTGCAGGGACAGCACAGCCTTATCTATTGTGTGTGCACTTCTTAGGACCTGTTGGAAGTGGTTGGCTTTTTCTAACTGTCTCACTGGGTATCTCCCTAGGTTTCTCTCTGTCCTCCGTGGAAGAAGAAGGGATTCGTCGGCTATATGTGAACGGCGTCAAAGAGACAGGCCTAGCTTTCAAGAAAGGTAAGAGACTTCAAAAAGTGCTTTTGATATTGTTTGTTTAATCCTGGTATAGACTGTGAGCTTGTTGGAATGGGAGCTTTACGAACACGCCAAACCAGGGTCCCACTCCAAAAGAGAACATGGTCTTTTGGGGAGAATCTGAGGTACTGAACTTGTTAAAGCTCTTGGGATCAGCTATGCTGTACAGTCAACCTCTTTGTTTTGAGCTGCTATATATATAGCAGGGTCAGCACGTCCCTTGCAGCTGGAAAGAGGAGCAGGGTCCCTCTCAAATCAGTCACTGTAAGATAAACAGCCATCGTGGTGCCCTCTGCGGCTGGGATAACTGCCTCTAGTTCCAGCCTTCGCAGGAAGCATGACATTGCTTGGACCAGAAACCGGCAGAGATAACTAGGCTGCTGGGCTCATCCCAAGGCAGGGCAGGAAACAGTTTAACTGCAGCCTACCCAAGCTGAGGTCAGTCGCAGTGCTGCCATGCCCTTACTGCTTTTCCCATTCACTGCCCTTTCCAGTGTGCCGGCACTGCTGCTCATGCAGTCACGGGGTGGGCTGGTCGGGGAGCTGAAACCTAAACAGATTTTAAAGCATAACCTGGGGAGCATGAAGAGTGAGAAGACTCTCATCTCTTCATAACCCAGCAGTGTATGCAGAGTCCTCAAAAACATCTCTGGAGTTTTCTTGGTGAGCGTCTGTATGGTCTTGCAGAGCTTCTTCAGCAGTTTGCTCTTGCTGAAAGCAATGGAGGCTGGTCTCCCCCAGGCTGCTCCAGCCCTTTGCCTTGCACTGACGCTGGCATCTGCTGAGCTGACACAGCTCACCGTCTTGATAGACAGCTGCCATGGCAGAAATGCGTGGCTGGCTTTCTGACCTGCTAGCAAATGGGGTTGGCTTGTGTGGCAGTGAAGCAAGGGGCAGAAGTGGCACAGTGAAGGAACAGGACTGCACAGACAGAAAGTGGGAAGGAAGATGCAGGGGGCAGGGAAGGGGACTGGTTTTGTCAGCAGGGAACCTGGAGTTTCGCTCAGCGGTAGCCTCTAACCCTAACTTAGGAAAACCACGTAGGTGTTTCCGGATTGCTCTTTATGTCTATTAAGCTTGAGAAGACCATCTTTCTCTTTCCTGTCCCTCCTCACCCCACCTCAGCCCCATACCAGTTCCTAGCTGACTGGACAGGTATTCTCCCAAAAGCCCTGAACAGGCTGGGGGGTGACTCTCTGGCAGCCTGCCACAGAGAAATATACCCCAGTGGGTTGCCTTTGAGGATCAAAGAGAATATGATGGTGGTGGTGGTGGGTTTCAGCAGGGCTTCCTTATTTTGCATTTACTTTATGTTTGAACAACAATATAAATGAATGCATAAACACAGACTGCCTCCTGTGGGGCTGAAACGCTACAACATGCTTTCAGTGATATGTTGCTCTTCCTACTTGTTAGAAAAAGCCACTTCTGTATGAACAGCATGTGGCAGGATACTGGGACAAGATACCCAGAGTTAGCAGAAAGCAGGGAGGAAAACACTCTTCCTCCCATGCATGTTTCCATTTGACTGTGCTTCCTATAGTAAGTCTAACCAGATGGGATACAGTATTTCATTTTCAACCTTTTCTCCAATTAGAAAACTTACATTTTATTTTCTCCTAATAATTTTTTTAATTTAGCTTTTTGTTTTTTTCTGTTGGTCTGCATTAGCTAGACCATTGTTGGGAGCTGAGGTGCTTGATTGTATTGAGATAGACATGATGTTTTATCCCAAATGATTCAAAACAAGGATTGCAAAGAGTAAATGAAGCCCCAGAGATGTTTATGGTTGCTAGCATATTAATGTGCTACTATTATGACATGGCATCACTAAGTAGAATAAATGAAATAATGTGAAATGCTTGACTTGCCTTGTTTCGTCCTTGTTTCAAATATGATTTTATGGTCCATTTACTTTGTAGCTATTCTATCTAGATCATTTTATTCTCTCTGAAACTGCACGACAACTACAGTTTCTGGGCACAATTTAATGCATTTAGAAAGATCTCAATTTTCCTAAAGAAGACTGAAGCTCTTCAGCCTCCTCCCTTCCATGCTTCTTTCTTGAATGCGAGTAGATACCCTGTTTCCTGGAGGACGCAGTTGAGCTCTGCTCCACAGCTCAGGCTCATCGAGGCCTTTCGCCTAGCCCCTAAGGGTGGCAAGACTTGTCCTTTGCGTGTTTGCCCAGCCAGAGGGCTGTATGGCACAAGAGCAGGTTACCCCGACAGAGCAGCTCTTTGGACCCTGTAAATTCCAGCTTTCATCCCTGTAAGTGCCTGGCTGGTGCCTGGAATGCCACGACAATCCTGTTGGTGGCCATTGCGGAGTATGCTTTCGCACCGGCTGTGCTCAGCGGGACAGCTCCGGGGCGGATGCCTGAGAGGGACCACCAGCATTACCTTCAAGTGACCCAAAAGCTGCAGCGCAGGAGGAGCCCCGAGGATGGGGGCTGTCGGTGCCCATGTGCCCTGGCGCACCGCTGCCTGCCTGACCCTAAAGATTATTTGGGATTAAACCCTGGTCCAGCTTGCTGTTGTCAGTCGGAGAGCAGGCCCGGCTGGGGGAGGCAAAGGTCAGGTTTCCTGCGGCACCTCGGAGGGCCACACGTCATCTGTCGGCATTGCTGTGTTGCCCCTGAAGCGAGCGGGAGTCAGCTGTTTCCTGTGCACATCCCCTCTTCCCTTGGGCGCTGGTGCTATAAATAACTCCTGAAATCAGCCTGGAAAAAACCTGTGACTAACTTACAAAGTGCTAAAATTTGCCTTTTGAATATCTAAGTGCTAGGACAGAATTCAGACAGGGCCAGAGTGGGGGTTATCTGGCCTGTACCACACGCCTCAGCTGAGTGGGGAATGTTTTCTCTCCTCCTAGGTGTATGGGTAGGTGACCACTTCCAATAAAATCCTTCACTTGTATGGAAAGTTAAAAGCAAGGATCAAGCCAGCCCAGCTCCTCCCTCCTCCCCTGTCCTGTGTGCAGCGCCTCCGAGTCTGACTCTGTGCTTCGGTATACATTTATTTATGAGCAATATGTTGTATAGGGTGGCTTGTTGTACAGCAGCTGTTGCCTTGCAGAGTGCCGTGGAGAAAAAGGGGATATCCTGTCACTGGTACGTTGTGAGGGACTTCCTGGGCACTGCGCTCTTACGGATGGGACCTGAGTACCAGCCTGACAACAGATCTGCCAGAAGTCCATCAAATTTCAATATAATTTGCAGTCATAAATGTTTACTTTATTGTCTAGACATACATAACACTGTCTGACACTTCATAAGCGCCCGGCTGAGCTCCTTGATGTCTGTGGGTAACAGAAACGTTACTGTGCAAGTCTTACCTGCTCCTTTCTGCGCTGCAGGCCTGAAAGCTGGCGACGAAGTTGTGGAGATTAACAAGAAAGCTGCTGAGGATCTGGACTCTGTGCTGCTGAAAGATGCCCTTGTTCAGCCATTGCTGTGTCTTACCGTGCGCACCTATCCCGAGATAGAGGAAGGACAGAAGCTAATGCAGCCACCGCCGCGTCGCTTGGAAAACCCAACTGACTTGAGTGACGGCGCACTGGCATTTGCTGGGAGTAACCAAGGTACTGAGGTTCGGTGTAGAAATTACCGGGAGGAGGATTCAAGCTTACAAGGTGCTGGTGTAATCCCATTGATCCCTGCGTGTAGCTTCCATGGCGGAAGTGAGAGAAATTACTGTCTGAATGTGCTGGGCAGATAATATGTGGGAGCCCTGGAAGCTGGCTGTAAGGTATAATCTGCTGGCTTCTAAACGCCGCCTGTGCTTGGAAACAGACAAGATACTGGACATACCTGCTTGCTTTATTTTTTTGGAATAATTTGAAATACAGCAAAAATCGTAGTGACAGGACAAGGGGTAGTGGTTTTTAATTGAAAGCGGACAGATTTAGATTGGATATCAGGAAACAATTCTTCCTGGAGAGGGTGATGAGGCACTGGAACAAGTTGCCCAGAGAAGCTGTGGATGCCCCATCCCTGGAAGTGTTCAAGGCCAGGCTGGATGAGGCTTTGAGCAACCTGGTCTAGTGGAAGGGGTCCCTGCCCACGGCAGGGGGGGTGGGACTAGATGGTCTTTAGTGTCCCTTCCAAGCCAAACCATTCTGTGATTCTATGAAAAATGAATGGAATGGCCAAAAAGAAGTAGTTTCTAGATAATCAGAACTGTTCTGAGCTAAGGTAAATTTTGACTTCCAGGCAAAAGTAATTGCTGTCTGAATATGTCAAATACTTTGTTTTCTCCCCAGAGTAAAAGTTTCAGAAATGTCAAAATAATTGTTTTGATAACTATGAAACCATTTTGTTTTGGGCATTTGGAATAAAAAGCTGGAGCAGGAGGGGTCTGTTAATGCACTTCCCCCTGGTTAAAGTCAACCGTGTCCCAGGACATGTCTGTCTGATTGCTGCAATCAGTCAGTGTAGGAGCTTCTGGGATGAGTCTGGGAGCAAACTGGAGGTAACCCAGGAGCAGTGTGAGTGCATCAGCATGATGCCGAGCTGGAGCAAATGAGACACGGTGAGAGACAGTTTGCTTGGGCTCAGGACCAAGCTGACTCAACTCATCTCTGCTCACAAAAGGTCAGGGAGGTACAGCCTGCCTCTCAACACTTCTGGTTGCTGCCCTGGTTTTGCTTAAACTGTTTCCTGAACACGATCTAGGAAAAATGCCACTGCTCTGCTAACAGGAACACGCAGCGGGGAAAGGGAAAGCTGGACCCCTAGTCTGACTTTGAGGAGTGTGATATTTATAGCAAATAGAATAGCGTGAACAAGAAAGCTTATTGCAAATACCTCTACAGGGAGTGATAAAAACAACCTCATGTAAGATATGGGATAAACCCCCAAACGCAGTTAAAATCAAACATTTTCAGAAGGACGTTTTTCCCTTTTAATTTTCATTGAACTTTTCCCAGCTAGGCTTTTGTGCCGAAAAATCAAGCTTGTCTGGTACATTTTTATAGCTGGCCACAAGATGCCCCCATTTCCTACTGAACAGCAGCTCTTCCCATCCTTTTGTCCTTGCCTGCACTTTTCCACTGAAACCCCCAGTGCCGAGTCCTCACACCCCATCTTTTCACCAAAGTGAGTATCTGCCCTGGGTGCAAATAACATGGAATTGGGACTTTTGTATTTATGCAGCATAGCAAGGCAGAGCAGTCACATTTTGTAACTCAGGGTCTCAACAAGCAGTTTCTCTGCCACTGTCAGTTATTTTGAGGGCCTTTCAGGGGTGCTCTTCCTTGCTGAGGGTGAGATAACGCACGGTTTGCCAGATGGGTCTGAAGACCCTAGCATCTGACTTTCAATATTATACAGTAATAACCCTGCCTGCCCCACGTGAAATGAAGACATAGGATGTGGCTGATGGACACATCCCAGCAAAATCAGACCTCCCGCCACCGCCGCTTTGTAGACACAGCTTCCTTTGTGCTGCTCCCAGCTCCAGCCATGTCTGTCCTCCTTTGTAAGCTTCTCCTGAGCTGGGTTTTTGTGGTTATCGCAGTGGTGTGGAATGGCTGCTTGTTTTTCCACGTCCTGCAGTGAGCATATGAACCGTCTGGTGGGCCAAAGCTGCTTCTTAAATAGCTCCCCAGGACTGGGGATAAGCTTTAGGGGTCCCTTTTCCATTCAGATTTGCCTCGGTAGAGCTGCCCTACACTTTCGGTGTGCTGCAGTTAGCTCCTTCGCTCGCTCTTTCAGGCGACAGGCAGCACAGGAGCCAGACCTCTCTTGGTGTTTGCTTTCCTTCAAACCACAGCAAACGCTGAGGTGGGAATCGCCTTCATTCCTCCTCAGAGGGGGAGGAATACTTCTTTAACCAACAGGAGCAACACAGCAGCTCATCAGCAGATGTTCGGGTGTCTCTGGCAGCTTCTGAAAGCCCCTGTAGTTGCCATATGAAATGCCTCTGAAGAGGGACGTTAAGACGGTATTTAAAGCTGAACAATGCTGATGCTCTAATTTGGGTTGATTTAGCCTGAGGTGGGAGTGGAATCAAGGATGTGACCTAAGTGGGCGATTGGGAGGCAGGTGTTTTGATCTTCCACATCCATTTCTCTCTGTTTAGGTGTTTGTAGAACACAACGTTTTACTGAAGCCTTTGTTCCTCAGGCCCTGCACTTTTTCAGGGATTCATTACCCAAAATGGGATCCATGTGAAATTTAAAAAGGAGTACGTTATTTTATCTGGGAGACTGTGGCTGTATCTTAGATTTTTGGTCTCGGCTCCACATCTTCTTGTAGAGAGCAGTCAAGTATGAAATACCCACTGACCCATTTACTTGTGTCCTTGTTGATTACTGGCAGTTTGGCTGGCTAGGCAAATCAGCTCAGTGATTTCTGTTGCGTGCTTTATTTATAGCATGCAGATTTTTTATTCGGTCCTGAAGTAAAGTAGCCCCCCCTTTCAGCAGGGAGGTGAAACATGGCTGGGCCAGAATGCCAGCAGGTATAAATCACCTGTAGGCACATCCATAATCCAGAAATTCAGGGTCTGGTTGACTGATCATGCTGATGTGCTATCATGATCTTCTTCACTAGCAATTCCTCACCGTCTGTGAAGGCAGCAAAGGGTAGATTTTTTGTGTGAGGCAGATCATATTATGTGTTTTCAACAGAAAGATGATGTGTTTCTTTTTTTTTTTTAAGGCGGCTTTCATAATGCCTTATTACTCAGTGGGAGGTCTCCCAGGAGCAAAGCAGGGCTGTTTCTGGGAGCTGACCTCCCTGAAGTGACTGCCAGTGCTCTTGTTAAATACGACCTCTTAGAGCTGTTTCATTATCTGGAACTACCTTGTATATACTGAGGCTGGGGCTAGAGCTGCAAATCAGCTCTCTGGCAGTGGTTACTTCATTGTGTTTGCTTAACAGGTTATTCTTGAAACGACCTTGAGTTTTATATCTCTAATTGATGTGAAAAATATCATCTTGGGTATCATATATGCTTTCCCCCTAGGAATTTGCACTGCATCAGTCTTGCGAAGCCACAAGTTTTGTTCCTTTCATCTATTACTGTTTCTCCTGGCTTTCAGTCTTCTCTCCTGCTAACACACTCTGCATAAATCTGGTTGAGGACTAGCTCTCATTCTGTCTTGAGCCCTGCAGCATGTTTTCCTTATTGCCTAGAAGGATCAGTGAGAGCTGTCTCCCTTTCCCATGGGAAGTGTTTTGTCTCTCTGTTCTACTCCACTCAATCCAGGCAATGAGAGGCTGAAAGCTGGAATCACAGCGCTGCATCTCCCCAAAATCATAAGGAAGATATTTTGTTACTAGAAGAGGATTTGGGAGTGGGAGTAATATCTGTATCTGTTTGTGGTGTCCCCACAATTCAAACTTTTTTTTTTACTCTGGGGTAGAGTTTCTGAGGTTTAGGCTTTGCATGCCCCTGTATTTTAGATATCTCTAGCATGAGGAATAACTCTGCAGGGATAACTGTAAGCCATATAAATCACTGTGCAGAATGTATAAATAATAAAAAAGAAAGTATATCCCTGTTTTGAATAGGTATATTAATCTTCTAGGTATGAAGCAGCTAGGTATTTTTAAGGAGTCTATTACTTTGTCGCTCAGTAAGCAGGAGAACCAGAGGCTGACATTAACTCACACTCTGAAGACTGTGGTACAAAACTGAAACAAACTTTGCCTGCACTGTAGGAATGGCCACTGTTTCTCATTCCATCCTCATCCTGTCACAGGTCCCCTTAGGCTAAGTAATTTGGATTTCAGAATAAGCTGAGACTAACAGTAACCTTAATTTCTTCAGGGTCATTTTCCTGAGGCAGACAACTAATTTCATATCTTCTGTAGCATATTAAAAAATATTGTTACCATTCAGTGCTTGATTTAACAATTTCAGGGGCATTTACGGCAGCAGCAATCTGAGGGCCTTGCATATAATTGATCAGAGACACGCAGAGCTGTTGCTCACAAGGTCTGTCTTCTAAAAGCTTGAAAGCCAAAGCCCAAGGATGTTGCCTCAGTCAGAATTGCGTTCGGAGGTCTCACTCCTGGCTTTTCTAAAGCCTGCCTGAGCTGCTGTGGAAATAAGCAGCATGGCTAGTAGCACGCTAGTGTTTGCGTTGGGGCTTTGGGTTTCTGAGCCTTCCCACTTTAGCTGCAGCAAACGTACCTGCTCCTCCCTTACCCACACGTGAATAACCTTCGCGTTCTCGCTGTGCTGCCAGCCGCCCGCTGACACCGCCGGCCCGAGGCTGCAGCACGGTTCTCACAGGGGGAAAGGCTGTTTTTTTGAATCTCAGTGTACCTGGTTTCCAAGGTCCCTGAGCACATGCTTCATTTTTACTTCTGTGAAAACTCCTTTTTATTCCAAAGGGGATGCTCAAGCATGTTACAAGTGTTCGACTCGGCTCCTGACCTGGGGGGGGGCGAAAAGTGACTGTGGTATGGTTGGTACAGGGAAGGGTTCATCAAATCTGCATTTTTCCCAAGAAGAGTGAATGAGCTGAATGACATTCAGCATGGATTTTTCTATATCTGCGCCATTTATTACCTAGTTGAAATGGACAGGGAACCAATAGAGTTCTGTTGCAGGGGAAAGAGAATTATGGGGCTTGTTCTGTAGGTCTCCGGGAACGGCAGGATTCCCCAGTTCATTCCTGTGCCGCTCTTCAGTTGCTCAGTTGACTGTAACTGTGATAGGTGTAGCTGAGTTTCACAGGTCTTTGGAGGTGTTATCAACACTGTGGGTCTTCCCAAAGGGACAGAATACCCCAGTGTAAAAATGATGTTTTCTTCTTTTATGTTTCAGTGTTTGAAAGCTAACCAGAATTCTTCTAAAAAAGAAAAAAAAACACATGCTCATCCTTTTTCTTCTAGTTTTATAGGTGAAATTTTGTCCCAAATAAAAATTTAATCTGAGAGACAGTTCCCTAACCATTTGTATTAAAATTGTTCTGTTTATGACAGATCCTCTTTTGAAAGGTACTCTGTTGTCATATCAGGGCCGTTCCCCAGCAGCATTTAGGAATGACACTTCAAGGAAGTTGCTGTAGAACTGCCCAGGCATTGCCCTTTTCTTTGAGACTGCAGTCAAACATGAGCCACGGAAGGCAGTCGGCCACCGAGACCTACGCAGCACTTCCCGCAGGAGCACGGGCACCCGCCTCTCTTGGCTGGGGTTCAGCTGGGGGAGTCACGTTCTGCCTGCTCCGTGCCTCTTCCACAGTTTCAACTCAGATGGGGGTGGGGGGTGGGGGGTGCCTCCTTTTTC